GGGGCACTACGGCTCCCGGCAGGCCTGGCGCCCGCGGGCAGTGCATGCTGGGAGCTGTAGTTCCCGCCCAGGCCGGGCCGCTGCCGGGCCTAAGGCGGCCGGGGGACGAACCAGAGCAAGGAGTGGCCGCCGGAAGGACACCTTGCCCCGGGCCCTTTCCCTCCGAGCGGCACCAGGGGCTGCTCGTACCACCACACCGTCCCGCAGGGCCAGGTATCGGCAAGAGGATCACGCTCGAAGGGCCCAATCCACGCAACGCCCATACGACACATCCATTCCACACAAGAAGCGCCAAGCAATTTTATTCTAAAGAAAAAATGAAATTCTGGACCAACATAAGTTGTTCCTGAGACATTTAGAGCACAGAAATAATGTTTTTAGCAATGTTTAGTATCGGCATTGAATCTGTGATTTCCTTCACGTGAGCGCAACACTACACAAACTACGAATTTTACTCACGTACAACTACTCACACCCCATTCTGCACATACGTTCAGAAATAAAGAGGCTGTGTCCCTAAACAGCCCCTTTAATAAAGGCAGCACAGCTCTCCCTCTACCTGCCAAAATTCTGTGAAAGGCTGAGAGTTAGACTAACAGTACAACAAACCAATAAATTAGAAACGTAGTAAAATAAAGTCCTCTAGAGCTGAATATTGGCTGACCGACCAAACGGGGAAGAGGGGAAATGTTCTGTGAGGGCAGCTCACGCTCCAGCTTTTGCTTCTTCCTGGACAACGTTATTTCAAAATCTGGAAGTCCTTATGCTCCAGCGCCGTGATCTTCTTCTCATTGCTGAACTCGGCTCGGCTGATGCGGGACTGGGGACTTCCTATCTTCCTGAGCCATTCCTGCAGCTCCCGTACCCTGGCAGTTGGACCCTGGACTTGTCCTTGCACGGTGCCGTGGCTAGTATTCTGGACCCAACCAACGAGCCCTAGTCTCTTAGCCTCCCCCTGAGAAGACAATGCAGAGCAAAATGAGATTAACCCGAACTGCAAGAGAGCTACAGAATGACGTTCACATACAGGCATCAATTTTATAGGCACGACACAGACCTGCAGGGAAGTTCCTATGGCCCAGGCAGCAGGAAAGCAGCAGCGGACTCGGCCGACTACTCATTACATCCTTTCACATGAAAAACTGGGGCAAAAACGCACTTTTCAGTCGTGCTTACATAACGCAGCACAGACCACCAGCAGCGCCGAGAGACGACAGCCCCCATTCAGAAGCGGCCGGAGCCCGTCCGTGGCTCAGCCCCACCGAG